AAGAACTGAAAAAGAAAATAACGTCGCTGTCGGGAAAAAACCTTGTAACTCCCATTTTGGACTTTTATTTATTTTTTTCATAAATTGATACGATTGGTCATTCCCCATGTGTGAACGTATGTTTTGGAAAATAAAAAAGAAAAAAGTCAAAGTTGTCAACCTTGCCAGCGGCGGCATTGGTACTGATGGAACTCGCATCTTCACAAGTCACTAGTCAAAAACCTCATAAATCCATTTTGGACATACGAGGTTTCCGTCCGACAGCGACGATAAGTTATTTAACGAAAACCGGCTTCTGCAGCCAACAAAACGGTGTCAGTAAACCTGGGAGTCGCTCGGGCAGCCTACTGGCAGGACAGCCAGACTGTCATCATGGTGGCTGCGTAGTGGCAGCTGCCAATATGCTGTCACCGGAGTGGCTGAATGTGGCCACTGCCGGAGAGCCTGCCACCAGCGTGGCTGCGTAGTGGCCGGTGGTGGCCGCTGCCGGCAGATGCTGCCCCCGGAGTGGCTGTTTAGTGGTTGATGGTGGCCGCTGAAATCATAATATGGCATTCAAACTATATCAATGGCTCTAAAAGAAAAAATGTAGTTCGGATATTTGTTGATTGACCCCATGAGAATCACTATATGCTGAAAGACGGAGCAATCATACAGAATTTCTGAGTAAGATTTATGAGGGATATATGATATTCATTTTACCAAATTTATAAAACTCCTCAAAAACATTTTAGAAATATTCGCTTTAAAACTGAAACATGTAAAACTACATAAAACCTCTAACATCAGGCAGTGCCAAATACTATAATAGACTGATATGTATATTTAAACTGTAACGTATTGGAAATATTTGTATAACTCATATCACTGTTCATGAATACAATTATATTATGATACAAATTGATAATGAATTATTGTCCACCCCTAGCTATATACTTTATGAGAGCAAATGTTTTATGTTTTTTTTAAAACTACTTGCTGAGCTTCTTTATGACATTCTAAGTTTCCTCCTTTCCCTCATTTTAACCATAGCAGGAGTGTCTGTTCTTGGTGCAGGTGAGATTCATCAGATCATATGACTCCCTGATAAAGTTTTTATCGTATACTGTATAGCCTTCATTTCAGAGGGCAATAAAACCATTAAGCTAAATAAAATTTCCGCCCTGCATTGCTTAAGTTGACATGTTGAGGACAAATTTGTTATGCTGCATTCTGTTTTACTGCATTTAAATGTTTTTGCATGTGATGTTTTATCAACATTAGATTAAGGTCAGAACTGGATTCTGATGAATGACTTTTCATTTTATATACCTATATATAGTTTTCTAACATATGTACAACAGCGTATATGCCACAAAGCAATGTTCAGATCTCGAATAAAGATGTAATCTTAATAAAATAAAGGGCATAAACAATGATAAAGAGGATCAAGAGCACAGTATGAGTAAATATCTTTTTGTGAAGTTCTGGAAACTGTACATATTAGTCTATGTGAAAGAAGCTGTACTATATGAATGTACCAGTTATGTCATGGGACTCACTTGGTACAGGTACCTTGCTCATTTAAAGAAAGGAAACTAGCGGTTGGTGGGGATGTAATACAAGCCACTCTGCAATAGGTACACGTTCAAATAGGCAACACTTTGGGGCATTTTTTTGAACTGATTCACTCTGAGTTCTCACAGGAAGTGATTCCATTTAGTTTAAAAGCTGGTGCATCCCAAAGAATGAGGCTCTTGGACTTTGGATTGCATGTGTGTTGTATATATCTGTAGGCCTCATCACTGAATCTGTGCCAACTTCTCTAACTTATTACGTTGAAGTGATAAAATCTATTTCTATTCTTATGTGATTCTTATTTTGTTTTAATGTGGATCTGTTGCAAGCATAAAAGGACAGGGGCAAAGTTAGGGTATAAAAAACTATTATAGTTCCATAAAGATTCCAGCAAGTCTAAGAAAACATGTCGAACAAAGCAATATACCATATTGAACACATCCAGTGCTAACTGAGCTGCAATAAAAAAAAAAAAAGCTGAATTTTCAAAGACGAAAAAAACGGTCAGAAACACTTTCTCTGTATTGATTGTTTTATTGAGCAAAATGTGAGCAATAAACATATTTTATGGCAAAATTCATGTACTTGTGCTTTGAAATTGATGTTCATTCAGTTGTTTTATTTCATGATTTTTTCATTTTAAACATGTTTTGATATTGCATGATTTCAAGTAATCATTCAAATGCAGTAACTTTAGAATATGAAAACTGGTTTTTAGTAAGTGCTAAAATAAAAAAAGATGGGGAAGCATCAGCATTTTTTGAGAGTATCTTTTCTATGATTTTTTTTTATTGTAGAACCTTTGGGTACATTAAAGGGAAAATAAATGGTGTGCCTTTCAGTTATATTAGATAATACACATGTTAATTCTAAAATCTACTAATCAGAAATTGATTATGTTAGAAAGTTCTGTAAAGTAACCTCTTTGACTACAGGATTTATAAATCTAATAGAGATTACTAAAATAGTGCCTTATCATGCTAGGTACCATCTGTAACTTTTACTGTAACATTACAAATGCTTGATATCATCCATGCCACTGTACTTCCAGCACCAGCCACGGTTCCAGTTCCAAACCATCCCAATCCTGACATACCTATAGTGAGACAATACATTGGAGAAAAAGTCCGCATTTAAGCTAAGTTGGAGTCAACTTTTATTTGTGACTTAAACCTTTTGAGATGAAAAGGCATACGTTTATAACAATAAACAATAACAATAATAACAATGTCAATAACAATGTCATAATTCTGAATGTCAGATACTTTAATTGAGTTGAGGGAATGTCTTATAATGAATTGATTATGCAAACCAAACAATCAGATTTTAGTCAGATTTTACATTCGCAAAAATATGCTCTTTTTGTTGGATTTGTTTCTTTTTGGTCATTTGCTGTAAGATGTTTCTTAAAAAATGAAAATTGAGGATTTCCTTTTCCTGTCCTACACATCTTTAAACCACTTAACTGTGAATATAGTGCAAAATGAGAAAGCTGGAAAGGGAATAATTAGAATATAAAATTATTTTATAGCTAAGCTACTGTATGTTAATGCTGGTTCTGGTGGCTGGATAATGGTCAAAGATAAAATTTTTTTATGAACAGTAAGAAGAAAGCAATTTAACTTTTAAATTCATTTAAATGAATTTGGTTAATTGTTGGACTTCACCAAGAACAATATTTATAAGAGTGTTCATCCTGTTTTAAGATTCTCCCTGGTCCTCCCACTGATCTTTTTTTTTTATAATTTGCATATATTCTCTAAGTTTGCAAATTGTTGTTTACCGATAGACTGCAAGGTTGCTATCAGACCTCCAGCTGGAACTCCTCCTCCATAAAGAACAGCAAAGACTGACATCATCTTTGCAGCAAGCGACCCTGCTGCTATTCCAGTTGAGGTGAAGCCAAGCGTGGCCAGAAGTGCAGGTGTCACAACCACGGTGGCTACACCACCTGCACAAGGAGCATGACTAATGAAGCTTTTTTTGAGCCCATTAACCTTAAGTTTAGCTTTTAAGAAATCATATGGTAAAACTGTTTTAAAATAAAGTCAGACAATTACTTACCTACACCTGTAACAATGTATTTACCTGATTAAATATAGATGGCAAAAAGAATTGTATTTAGCACAATATAATATAGACCTTCCATGTCCATTTTTAAATGGACTTTATACTCACATATTTCTTGCTCCATGTTCTCAAGTCCAAGATCAGCTCTTTCCCTGACTATGCAAGGTGGATAATGTGGCAAGGAGGCTGTGCTGGACAGGTCTTTAACTTCTCTGAAAATGAAACCAGTTACCCATGTTTGAACAGCAAAGCGAAGCTTAATGCTAAGCGTCTGTTGTTGGTGCATGTAAAATCCGGCTGGAAGTCTTTATTGTCTTTGCCTTTATAAAAAGTTTCAATACTACATATTATAGCTTTCACTGTAGATAGCAATGGTGAACATTAAGCTAAATAAAATTTAGATAAACGTTGCTCATATGACAAAGGGAGGATAAGCTGTTTGTACTGCATTCTGTCTTTATGGTGAAGGCACACAGTGTGCATGTATGAATCACATGTTTTTTTGTGAAAATTGAGACCGATTTAGCTCCATAAAAAAGGAAAAAGCAATAATGGTAAAAGAGAGAGGGAGAAAAAAGGACACAGAAAATACAGAATAACTGCTTTAAATCTGCTTCCACACATGCAAGAAAGGAGAGGAAAGAAGAAAAAACAAAAGAACACATCAACCATAACAATAGAGGGAGTATCCCATGTACACAAAGTAAATACATCTATACAAACATCAAAAGCAAAACTTATTGATATTACACGATGTCATGAAAGGTCTAAACATGTCCAAGTAAGTGCTGTGACCAACACTGGTCTTAGAGCCATAAGCAAGAAATATTTAGGTTATAGTAATAGTTAGAATTTTTTGTGCAATTCCTTTTTTTCTGTAATCTTGTCATTTGTTGTAATGTTAACATCAGTACAGGTGTATTTTATTGTGAAGTTTACTTTTATGTTGTAAGGCTTTTTCCCTATTTTTTTTCTGTATATGGATACAGACTGCAGTATTGCACAGCATGGAGTCAAACAGTTTTTAATCAGTTTTTTTTTTTGTTGAAAGAAAATAAATTGTACCATCACTTTGTTGTATAACATATTTCTTGGATAAAGAATTTGTGGATAAACTTCACGTTTTTTCACACGTCCTTAACTTATCCAGGAATGCAATTAGAAATACACAGATATTGGATCTGTTGCCATAACATTAGTCAAAACCTACTCCAAAGAGCCATTTCACAACCCTGCGGGTGCACAGTGAGTAGAAATGCTGCTAATGATAAAGCTTGCTGTATTAAAGGAGAATTCCGGTTTTTAACACTTTTAGCCCATTTTCTGTAGTGTCCAGGATGAAATCGAATGATCGACACCAAAATTTTGACAAT